AAATTTTTATGAAATATTTGCCAGATAACTTTTCACTTACCCTTTTTTGATATGCTTAAAAAAATTCATATGCAATTGGAATCCTGTTATACTGTGACTAGTTAGAATTGGACAGGCCAGCCTGGAGTCAGTGAATGGGGCCTTGTGAGGGTTCAGGTGACGGGAACCCTGGCACTCAGCCCCCCAGGCTGTGCCCCAGCAGTGCCAGCAGCTTGGGGTCCAGGTCCTCTCTATCTGTGGTGCCTGCTGTCATGGTGTTGCCTCAGGCACCGTGCCTGCACTCAACTGGCCGCCTCTGACCCTTGCAGTCTACCCCGACGGGAGGGTATGCATCTCCATCCTGCACGCCCCTGGTGACGACCCCATGGGCTACGAGAGCAGCGCAGAGCGGTGGAGCCCTGTGCAGAGCGTGGAGAAGATTCTGCTGTCGGTGGTGAGCATGCTGGCAGGTGAGGCCTGGCCGGCCAGCGGCGTGCATGGTGTCCCAGGCACAGCCTGCTGGTGTGCCTGTATTGCTGACCATATAGTTAACCGCTGGCTAGGCCTGGGGCATGTTGTTTATTCCATAGGTCTTTGCTGGGGTGCACCACATGCACACACTGATGTAAGGCTCAGTGTGATGGAGACCAGTTTTGGTCCCATGTTCTAGGGTAGCTTTCCAAATCTACCTGCACGTACAGCCAGTGGTGATGAAGCCCCATGTCGGAATGCACACGGAACCAGTTCTCTGGGGCTCTCTGGTCCAAGTGGAGGCCATGAGGAAGTGACAGAGTGGGAGACAGAAAAAGCATCTGGGGCAAAGGAGGCATCCTGGGGTGAAGCCCAGGGACACTGCCAGCAGGATCCAGCCCTGCTTTGTGGCTTGATTTGAGTTGAGGTGGTAGTGGAGGAGCTCTGATAGGGGTCCCCTCACCACGCCATGCCTCAGCAAGGCGGTCTTTGCAGCAGCTTCCAGGTGGTGTGACTGGGAAAGAAACAAAGACTGTCTGGGGCAGTGCCTATAGCTCAAAGGAGTAGGGCACTGGCCCCATATGCCAGAGGTAATGGGTTCA